ACACAAAAAAGAAAGAAGAAAAAAAAAAAAAAAAAAAAAAAACAGAAAGACCGGCCGCGAGAGATGGTTTTGCCCTGGGTCTGATCTCCTTTCGAATTACCTGATATGCCAAGAAGTGCCACTTCTTATTATGCCAACACCTCTACGAAGAAAGTGGGTTTAACATAGGTCCCATGAAGATCCAGTTCACTCCAGAGATTACCCTGTATCCGAGGAGTGCGTTCCTAGCTCTTACGAACAGACTCGGCCATCTTAAGGGTCAGGCCAGGGCTCCTAGGATTCCAGGTCTTCCGAAGATGTCGCTGCCAGTTTCACTTCAATGCCCGAGTCCGGCAAAACAGACTGTGTCTTCATCGATCCAGCGGCTCCAGCAAATTTTAACGCATGAGGGATATTATGGAATATTCTACCTTTTGATGGCTACTCTATAGGCATCTGATGTGGGCGCACTTCTCGCAGTTCTTCGCATCCAACCCTCCGCCTCGGTTTACCAGGCTTTCCTTCATCCCATTGAGAGATATAGATCCCACAATGCGTGTCTTTGAGCCTTGGTTTCGTGGCAAGTGTCAGATATTACTCCTAGGTCCTGATTCCAGATTACTGAATCAAGGAATTCTGGACCCGGACGCATACTACGCAACAAGGAGCTGCGACGCTGCTTGGCTGGAGCTATGGGTTATAGCAATACCGCCTAACTCCCAAAAAAAAACATGCTAAGCGAGCTTCTCCTTTTCTTTCCTGACCATGCTAAATGGGATCGAGAATCTGCCGTGTTTATTCCTATCAAGTGGGTGTGCACTTCCAGTGGGTTACTTCATTGCCGTTATTCTTCACTATTCATGTAACATAGAATTATGAACCTCCACGGCCAGCGCTTATGAAGAAATCATTTTCTGAACAACAGTCTCTGTATAAGCCCACAACAAAGCCGAATGATCCGAGCAGAAGGCGAAGCCCGTGTAAAACGTATTCTTGGTGCCCTGCAGTGCATACAGCTTCTTGTAGAACCCGTCCCGAATCTCCGCGTTAGACACTGTTAGTGTCTCCGGCACATGGCTTCCAAATGCAACAATCTCTGGGTCACCCCCGGGATACGTTCCTGCAGTTCCCATCCGGCGGATATCAGAGAGGACGAGCTCTCTCGCCTGCCCCTCAGTCAGGCTCTTATCCCCAACGATCTTACTGGCTAGATACCCGTTTGCACCTAGATACTGTAGTGCCCACTGGAACGGTGGAAGAGGAAGGTTGCCCGGGGTGTTATTGCTAGGGTCAGTGTTGAGGACCGTCACGGCATTCGGAATTCCAGTGTTGTTGACAACCGCAACATAGTATCCCTTCCAGTCCCACTTTCCAAATGCTGAGGATTCAGTCGTGGCGAGGTCGAAACCTTGCAAGTTGTCCTTGTAGGGAACGAAGGTGACAAGAAGCTGGTTGGCCTTGATGAGTTTGCGGGCACCGTTTGCGCCTTGCACAACGATCTTGACGCCAGAGTCGGATCGCTCGGTTTCATTAACAGTGGACTGGTAAATAACGTCGGATCCTAACACTTCAGACGCCTTCTCATATAGTTGATACATGCCAGCTTTCGGAGTGATGTAGCCGCCTTCGAGCAGAGCATCGATATGCGGGATGCCAATGGACTGCAGGACGTAAAGAAGGGGTGTTTCAAGGACATTCCCCAAGTTGTGGGAGAACATGAAGATAAATTGCAGGGCGCTTTGGATGCCGGTTTCCTCGACGAATTCGCTAAAGGGACGTAGGAGTTCGTCCGGCACAGGATCAGGCAGGTTATATAACCCGTCCTGGAGATAACTATACTTCTGGATAGCTTTCCGGTACAGGACCGCGGCCGCAGCTGTGTCGAGGAGTCCGGCGGGAGGAGACACCTTCTTGCCGGTTTTGAAGTCCACGTACTGATTAACTAGGGTGTTCGGGAGAAGCAGTTTGTAGTCAACACCAAGGCGGTTGAAGTAATTTCGACTCAGTTCGTTATCGAAAAGCCCCTCGACGCCGTAGTCGATGTACTGATCGTTGTCGGTATAGAGGGTTTCAGTGTGGCCACCGAGGATTTCATGACGCTCAACAACTACCACGCTTTTGGCTTTGTCCTTCAGACTCACGGCAGCATATGTGCCAGTTGCACCTCCACCAAGGATACAGACGTCGCGGATGATGATATCGTTCGGAGCAAATTCATTTTCGTTAATCGCTAGAACGGGCGAGATGATGGCTGCAGAGAGTATAGCTCTGACAATCGTGGATGTAAGGCCCATCATAGTCGCTGGTACTCCGTAGAGACTGGGAGCTCGACCTAGAGAAGGAGGGATCTTTAAGAAGGGGGAGAGACTGTACACTCGCAGGATGGCCGCGAGAAAAGAAGAAAAGGAAATATGAAACCATGACTTGGACTAAATATATGCTACGCTAATCTCAATCTCAATGAGTGCACAGGTCGCATGTAGGTGGGGCATTTTCGTGTCAGGTAACTAGTCCAAATTAGGCGATGGTCACATGATGCGCTACCTGACACGACTTTTTCCCACTTGACACTACCTTTCTCTTTCAATACAATACAACTCTTTCTATCTCCCCTCTACCCCTCCTATTGCCTGCTTTCCGCGACATGGCTGGATACGATAATGTGAGAATAAATCTCTTACTGGTTTCTGACTAGTCGAGAACTGACTACCTACCCTACTGATTAGCCCGAATACCGTGCCTACCAGACTGATGTGAAGGATGGTAAGGTCACCTTGCCACTGTGGGATGAGGTACGTTAGAGACTAGTGTGTGACTAGTATATGA